TTCAAGGGTATGAACTTTAGTGTGGCAAGCAAGAGCAAGAGAAGAGTGAACTTGTGCCCTGAAATCAGTAAGAGGGCAGTTCTGTGCCAGAGTGAAGTGCAGGCCTAGGACAAGGGGCAGAGCTGAAATAACTGACATGATTTGTTAAGGAATTGGAGAATGCCCAGGGCAGAGGGCTGTCAACCAAGCAGTTTTTAGAAGCACTAATTTCATTTAAACAAAAGACATTTGTGTCAAAATGTGAAGTTTTGTTTCCATCTATCCAGTATGTGCTCTCTATTTCAGTGTCCTGACATTTTAGAACTTACAGACCAGGGGTCCTCCGACTTTTTAAACGGGGGGCCAGTTCACTGTCCCTCAGACCGTTGGAGGGCTGGACTATAGTTTAAAAAAAAACTATGAACAAATTCCTGTGCACACTGCACATATCTTATTTTGAAGTAAAAAAACAAATGGGAAAAAACACCTGCATGTGGCCCGCGGGCCGTAGTTTGAGGACGCCTGTTATAGAACCACGTATAGATGATTGAGTTTCTTTTGGATTTTAATAGAGAAAGCATTTGAGTTTTTGTTGCTTTTGTCATAATGGAAGTTTATAGGATAAGAAAAAAAATCCATTAACCTGACATTTTTATCTTTACACATATGTTCTGGAAATGAGGTTTTTAGTTAAAAAATGCAGTATTATCGCCTTTTAAAAATGAAATTGGAACATAATTATTCACTTTCTTTCATTTTTTTTCCTTGAAATCAAGTGTTTATGTTAATGAAAAAAGGATTTCAGTTATTTAAGGATTTTATTTTTTATAGAACCAGACCTTAATGGTTTTCTGGCCACAGAGATCCTACAAGAGAATAGAAGGCAAGCCTGAGCATCAGTCACCCCAAGGACATTAAGTGCTACAAGTGACCTGAAATAAAAGTTCTACTCACAAACAGGCTCTTAAGAGAATGGTGGCATAAGACGAGATTACCTTTTTTCATATGTACCACAAATCAGATAACTTTACCTTGTCCTTATTGTGGATTTTTAGATTATGAGGCAAGAGTCAGACAGTTTTACCATATAAATCAGACTGACATTAACTCACATAAATTAGTATGTTCTTTTTTTTTTTTTTTGGTGGTGCTAATTGAATTTGCTGGAGATTTTTATGTCAAATGTTTTCTACTTCGTAGAGGTGGTGTCAGGAGCATGAACTAGTTTCAGTGCAATGCATGTTACATAGAGGAAGTTGCCACTGAAATAAATGATGGATTATATTCACTATTATAGTATTATCTGAATAAAAATGTTGCTAATGATCTAAGAGTCTTAGAGAGCTATGCCATAAACTCTTGATTCTAGTAGTCACATTTAAAATATTGAAGCATTTTTGAAATCAGTATACTTATTACAGCAGAGATGTGCATCAAATATAGCACCTCTTTTCATACTCTGAAAAGCTTTTCTTAAATCAGGAGAGTCCTACATTTGATGATAACTTAACTGTCAGCCTGAAATAATGGAAAGAATCAGAATCTAATGTTTAAAGAGTTCATTCAAGCACAAAGTTGAGGACAGCCACCTGGAAAACAGACTCCAAAGGATTGGGGTCAGTGCTCCGAAGTGGATAAGCTAAGGCTTGACTTATAGGCAGGAGCAAGGAAGCTTAGCAGGACTACAACATTTTCCATACAATGCTGGTTTATGAGTTATAGCAATTTGGTTATAGCTTTTTCTTTTTAAGGAAAGGTATATTTAACATTCCATCTTGAGAAATTTGTTAGTCATGGGGTCTTTTGCCATCTGGTTTGGGTTGGGTACAAGAAAAAGGAGGGAAGCTAATCTATAACAAAGGGTCAGTAACTAAGAGGAAAGGAGTCTTTTCTCTGGTGCCATTTAGTCTTTCACAACATTTTATAGAGCAAGAAAAATAAGAAAGAAGGTTTTAATCTATAATTGGAGAAACAAAAGTCACAGCTACTTGCTACATGACTCAGGTATCACTTTTAAGGCTCAAAATAATTTAAAGTACCAAAAGCTTTAGTTTGAATTACTTTCACTTAGCATTGTGGCAACCAGAAGATATAAGGATGCAGGGTCTCTTGGAGGAGACCTAGGTGAAGCACTTAACTGTCTTAAGACATCTCCCTGTTTCTTTCCATATCATCTTGAATTCACACAATTGTGGAAAAGTATAAAATGGAATAGTGCATGTTCAAGTGCCTTGAAAAAGTAAAATTCATTCTTTGGGTGTCATTTTCTTACGTATAATCCCAAAACTTTTATCTAGTATACTTGTTTAATGTAATGGGCCTGATTAGCTGTGCTTAGCATAAAAACCTGTTACTCGGATAGAAAATTTCTTCTAATATGATAATTGGTGTTGAAAAGCAAAAGGTTCCCCGATTTTGGAAAATTGCATTAGAAACTGCTCTTGAATTTCAGCATTTACTGTAGCATCACTTCTAGACATAAATACTTGGATATTTACCCCTGTTTGTGTTGCAATAAATTGAAAGTGCTATATTGACATATTGATATATTTCAGTTTTTTCTAATCAAAGAGCAAAATGTCTAGTAAATGATTCAAATTTTTAGTTTTCTAACACGGCTATATCTTTGAGAGCTTGTTTTCTAAAATGTTCATAGGTTTGCATTCACATTCAACATACTCATATTCCATAAACATTTACTGAGTGACTGTTTTGTCCTAGGATCTGAGTTAGGGGTGCTCACATACTTCAATTTATTTAATTCTTATAACAATACCATATGTAGGTTTGAACATCAGCATCATAAATCTCTGAATAGGACAACCTTTTATATTATAGGTCAGTAAATGACTCACTGAAAGAGAAAAATTATTTGAGGACACACAATTGGAAGATATATGAATGCCAGGCTGTGTGTGTGTATGTGTGTGTATATGCACAGGCATTTATGTAGGGCAAATATAATGCATTCTGTTTATCCATCATGAATATAAAGCATAATATTCTGTTTGCAAACTGCAGTGTGTAATAACAGGTATACTTGTGTCCTACATTATAGCCAGTTCAAGGGGAATGGTGTGGGAATGGGCTAGGGGTGCAGAAGAGAGAGGAATTTAAGAAAAATGGGGCATGGAGTGTGTGCACATACACACCCGAGGAAATCGGGTGGGCATGCTGACACACACAACTTGTGTGTTTGCTAAATCCCTAAATATTTTTTGTGAGTACTCATTTTTTATTTGAAAACTTATATTCCTAAGATTTAAAATATTTTCACACTAGGTAAAATTAAAATTATAAAAACTCTTCATGATTCTTTGAAATCACTCCTTGTTTTCAGTGAAAATAATCTTTCTACTCTAGAAAATGATGCTTATGACTTTAACATTTTGTTTTTAATTAAAATAACAAATGTATATTGTAAAATATTGCAAACACTACGATGAAATTGAGTTTCCCTTCCACCCGAGAGGCACTTCGTTCTCCAGAATTTATCAATGGTTTTTGCATCTTATATTAAAATCCTCCATGTAATTACGTGTACATACAAATATAAATGTAAGTCATTTTTAAAAACATGAATTTTAAATGAAAGATACTATATACATGGATATCTTTTCTTTTTCCTTTTTGGAGTTTTTCCTAATCATCCTGTACAGATTTTCCTCATTCTCTTTAAAGAATGAATGGAATTTTATTGTATGGTTACCAATGTCTTAACTAGTACCTCACACATGATAGACACTTCATAAATATTTGTTGGCTTAATAAATTAAATATTTAGTTATTCTCCTCATTGATGGATGAGGGCCTGTGCCTGACTGATAATAACAGATTAAAGGGAAAAAACTGATAATAAGTAAAAGTACTAGTAAGGTTCAAGTCGGCAATAGAAGCCTCTATCTTTTGGAGTCCACTTTGTGGGGAGGGGGCTCTGTTTAAAGAAATCCTTCAGCTCTGGTCTCTGTAGTAATGACTCTCTCTCTCTCACCTACACATACACATGTGAAGAAATGTCTGTTCTTAGAGACCTATTTTGAGAACATGGAATACATTTTCTATCAGGTCATTTCTATAAATCTGGCAGACTGAGCCACCTATTTAGAAATTTTACATTGATACCTGAATTATGGACTGCTTTTTCTGCTGTGTTAGCTCTAATTTAATGCAAATAAAGAAGGAGCAGTGAAAGCTCATTAATTACTCTGGTTTGTTTGGGGAGTTCCATCTTCTTTTTGCAGCTCCCAAAGATATGATTCTTACTTAGATCCATAATTTTTCACCTTTCACTCATTCATTTCTCTCCTGCGTTTAATATGTTTTGTCACTAGGGTGGGGTATATATCAGCTGACTTGGCAAAGGTAATATGAATAAATTATACTTCAGAAAGTATACTATCAGCCTATGAAATAGTCACAGGAGCCTAAGGCTCTTCTCATTCTTTGCTGCTGGTTCTGTGTTTGAATGTCACTCTCTCTGATCCTGCAATTATTTTAATAACAGGACCATATTGTCTTCATAAAGCACCAAAGTTCTCCCCCTGGGAAAAATTCAGTGCTCTGGACTCCCCCTTGGTTCCAGGACCAGAATAGAGCGTGGGACACAGCCCACTTCCTTGAATGAGGAAGGTGTCAGAGTAAAACTGTGTCCTCCCTCTGAACTCTGCTTGTGTATAAACTTGGGGGTCCCCAAAAGGAAGGAGCAGCTGCTGGATCAGGGGAGGAAGTGACACTGGACAGAAAAGTCTCTTTAGAGAAAACAAGTGCCTGTGGCTTTCATTGATTTGTTGATCAAACTTGTCTGAAATGCTGCAAGGCAGGGATTTGTCAGTGCCAGTCATATGCTTATAGGCGACAAGCAAGTGTCTTCTGTCCCTTAAGTTGGGATCCAAAGATGATTGCCTGGGAGAAATGGGACATGCTTGTCAGCTGAGAGGAATCTTCTATTCAGCTTTGCTACAAATTAGGGCAGGTCCCTTTACTGGTTTTTGGGAGATCCTGTTTATCCTCTTCTGCTGCAGGTACCTTACATGAACAGTGTCAGCCAGGTTATAGAAACCTGACATCTGGATTTTAAAACTCGAATTTGTCTGGATTTCAAACCAGAGCTACATAGAAGTGGGACCCTGTGTAATAGGAAAAGGTTCGTCTTGGGAAGTAGGGACTGTTACACCTGCTACTAGAGGACACCTTGGCGTAAGTGCTGGACTTGGGTGTGCCTCGCCTTGGCTCTGCTGGGACCAGATCCCACTACTGAGCTCCCATAGGCTTCTAACTTTTCAGTGTCAAAGTTTTTGCAAGTATGCTGTGGGACACCTTATATAGTTGATAAATGTTGTCAATTATTCATAAGCAAAGTGTCATATTAATTTTATGTAATACTAGGTGGGCTACTCCACGCTACTCAGGCGAAAATCATTAGCGATGATTTCATAAATTGTAGCTGCTACTCACCCTGAACCAATGGCTCTCAACTCTGGCTACAGTTAGAATCTCCTGGGGGAGCTTTTAAAAATGCAGGTGCCTTGGGGCCACTTGTCCTCACCCCACCTCTCGACCCCCAGATTCCGATTGATCTAGACTGGCTGGGACCTGGATACCCATAGTCATTAAAAGTTCTCCAAATGATTCTTACATGCAGCTGGAGTTGAAAACCACTGTGCCTGAATCATGCTGTGTGGCCCAGGTGAGCAGCAGCTGAATCCAAAATCAGAAGGGCAATTCAGAGCATCTGCTGCTGGAATTATTGATTTGGGGGCACTCAGTTAAAACCGCTGTATGTTTTCTCTGTTTGGAGAACTCCCTGCAGTGCTTCAGCACCAGCCGCTCTGAGTACCCCCACCTCTCCCTGCCCAAGTTGATTCAGCATATGCCACTGGTCTATGTTTAGTCCTGGCTTCCCAAATGTATACTCCAAATTTGATGAAAATGCACCCAAGCTGACAGAAACATCTTTATATATATAGAGAGAGACACACAGAAAGAAAGGATAGAGGCTTCTAATTCTGGGAGAGGATCCACTTTCTCAACAGTCATTATAAATAAATTGTGTTGTTTTTTATATTCTTTCAAAGCCTTTTGTAATGAGGATTGTTTTTTAAATAAAAACTCATTCTTGACTCCACACTGTTAGCTTGAAGATTAACATATTTTTTCCCTCCTTTTTCTTATAAATCACTGAATGAATGATGTTGTTTCTTCAACCGTTTCTCTAAGCATAGCTGATCAGCCTATACAATGGTAAAAGTGTTCCATAAACAGGATGAAGTTCATACATTTTGTCCACCCAAGTCAGTTTGTTATATCCTTATTTGCTTCAAATACCCAAATGTAATTTGGTAAACTGTAAGAGAAAGATATGCCAAGGAAATTTTATGATGGCTTGTCCAATAGATTAAAATCTTCAGAATACATTTTGCCTCTGAAATATATGGCTTAAAGAAAATAAACATTTATATGCATTCAGAAAAATAGGTATGCAGAAAAGTTAGCAATATTACAGCCTCCAGATTGACATTTCTGGCATATAAATTCAGATTTAAAACTCTGTAAAACCTATATCACTATGCAAATGGTGCGGCAAAGACTATTAGATTATCAGCAAAATCTGTCTGCAATTTTAGAGAATTCTTGCTTGGGGCAATGAGATTTTTATATTTTAACAACTCGATTCCATTGGTGCTTCCAGAACATTTCCTTGTTAAATAGAGTCTGCCCAAAATAATCTGAAGTATTTGTAAGAAGGGCTAAGGATATCAAAAAAGAGGTATTTAAAGAAAAGTTAAATATGATCAAGGAAGACTCCCTTTTCATTCTTCATGACATGGAATTTTATAAGCATAGAGAGATAGTATAATAAAGAGGTTAAGACCTGAGCTTTGGAGGCTGATAGGATTCATACTGAAGCTCTATCACCTATCAGCTGTTCGACCTTGGAAAATTACTAATTAACCTCTCTTAACTCCAATTTTCTTACCTATAGAATGGGTATTAATAATATGTATCTCATGTGGTTGTGAGGATTACATGAGTCAAGTACATAAAATGCTTGATATATAGTGCCTGATACAAAATAAAATGCTCCACAAATAATTATAATTACTGGCAATAGAAGCAGTATTCCATGACCATGCTCAAGAAATAGTTATTATTATTAATAATAGTCATAGCATTACATGAAATTATAAGCAGTTTATTTAAAGATAGATATGTGATTATGCCTCATTTACTTGATAAAAGCTTGAAGTGGTGTTTGTTTTTATTCTGTTAGGTTTTCTTTTTTCACCCCCTTTTTTTTTCTTCCCCTTTTCGGCTTAAGTTTAGTTTTTGGGCGGCGGAAAAAAAACCCTGTCGTTATTTTAAGCAGAAATAGATTTAATATGGGGAGTTACAGGTTCACAAAATCATTAGAAGGTCTGGCTGGAGAAGAGGGTTCTTGGCTTGACCTCCAGGAATGAATCCTGAAATAACAGCCAGAACTGGCCACTAAGAAAATGTCTCCCTCTTCTGCGTTCAGAAAGGTGAGGAATTGGGAAGCCAGTGTTTGAACTTCTGACCTCAGGATCACATCTTTTTGGCCACTATACAGAGATCAGGAACTGCTGTCAGCATGGCTGACTTCCGAGAACTCACCAGCCTGCTACATCCATGCCCATCTCTCCAACCCCAAACGATGGGCATGACGTGTGCTATCACTTCTTAACTCAGTTTTGAATTTGAGTGTTAGCAAGAATGTTGGCTTGGAGGAAACTAAATCACATCCAGAACTGTAGTTTCAAGAAGGTATAGAAAGTGTACTTTATGTTTTCCAGCCTTGGCAATTCCAAAAGTGCACTAGAAAGGGGTTAGAGCAGATGCCAGGTGAGAGCCACTCTACCTACCTGCATCACTTAGACACTGATTTTTCAGTAGCTGGTATGTGTTTTAGGCTTTGAGCGAGTGTTTCTGAATGGCTTTGATACCTTGAGTGATTCAATCAAGGACACATACACATAAAGTTAATAAAATGAATAGGGATAAGGAATCTCGTGCGTGAGAAGGGTTAACACTGTTGCTAGGACTGAGCTTTGACTAATCGACAGGGTGTAAAGAAAATAGGACGAATAGCTGGAATCAGAAAAGAGTCATAGCAAATTTTCTGGGCATGTTATGCTCTTGCTTTCACATTGGCTTCAATGAAGAGTTGATTAAGGATAATAATCAGCTTTGGGGAAGTCAGGGAAGTGTACAATTGGGAAAGGGTCTTTTAATTAATTATTTGCATATTGTATTTTTTAAGCTGGGTTGTAGGAACGTGTGATCATTTTATTATGTTTTACTACTCCATATTTTCATATTATTTTGTATGTGTAAAATATTTTTTAATAAAAAATGTGGTTAAAAGAAAAGACTTAACCAGGTGGTTATACCCTGAATTCAATCTCCCTTGGCTGTCTCCTTTTACAATGTCAGGAGAATTCTCCCCAGGCCAGCCCGGCCTCACCTCTTGGAGAGCACGTGTCTGTTCTGCTCAGGGAGGAGGCTGTGGGAGCAGCTGGTTCTCAGGGGAGCCACTTTGTTGGAGGGAGCTGAGAAGGATGGGTGTCCAGGATTCCCCTGATTTAGGGAGACAAGATGTTAAGGAAACTTTCGGGGGGCGTTCTGGAGATATCTGTGTGTCCAGACGGTTAGGATTTATTCCCTGCTCTGTGCCATCCTGGTAGCAAAGAGGAGAAAGTTCTGGTGCCAGGAGGTGAGGGGGAGCAGAGACTCAGGTGTGGGCTGCCAACCCCGGCCCCAGTCTGAATAGATGCCTGCAAGTCTGGCCCATCTCTAGACCAGGCTTTGGGCTTTTCAGGGCAGATGCCATCCAAGAAAGTAAAGGGTAGAAAAGGTTAGCAGAACCACGGGGGGTGGGGGAGGTTGGATGAGCGCGCTGAGAATCTGGGGCCTTACAGAAATCTTCCCCTAGAGAGGCAGTGGGAGCGCAACAAAACCTGCTTCCCAGGAAGTGTGTGGGGCAGAGGAGTGTGGGGAACACAACCCACATCTGCTGGGCGGAGGGGGGGTTGGCAGCACCACATGCTTGGGTGCCTGGATATCACCAAGCAACTTGGGGTTTTCAACAGGGACCCCAAGGAGACCTGCAGGGCCAGCCTGCAGTAGTCAGTGTGGACTTGCACCTAGGCAAGGGTTGAGGTTTTTAAGGTCACATTTAAGGTAAAAGCTCCATATAATAAAACATGTCCCTATTAAACACTCTCAGTGTTTGTGAATCTTGAGGCCTGATCTCTTGGAAGCGCAGAAGTGAAGATTTCACTTCTGTTTCTTTCTGTGTTTTGGTGTGCCCTCATTTTCTGAAGAGTAATGGAGGTTAAATTCTAGTTTTAAAAGGTGGCGTGGGGTAGGATCTCTTTTTCTCTCTGCCAGGAGAACATGTATTATTTTTACTTATTCATTATCTTAATTACTTAACTATCTTAACATACTTAATGTGATATTCACTATGTTTCAGATGGTATTCTAAGTACTTAACAAATATTAACTTATCTACTCTTCATGCACCATATGAGGCATTGTTGTTATTCCCATTTTCAGATGTGGTAACTGAGGCACGCCCTAGGTTAAGTAACTTGTCCAGTTATGCAGCTGGTAAGTTGCAGAGGTAGGATTCGAGTCCAGGCAGCAAGTGTTCTGGCCCTGTGCTCTTAATAATAGTGCTCTGCTACCTAAGCTAAATATTTATTTTGACATGATTGTGCTGTCTACTCAGGGTTGTTAGGTTATGTCCTGATACCATGACTCTTTCTATGTTCCTGAGTATTAGTTTCCCGCTTTTAATATCTTAATAAGATGGTAAACAACTGAGCAGATATTCAGATTTGAACTTTGGGGTTTATCTGTGTGCCCCATACTAATATGATTTATTTATAGCAGTGCTGAGGGTTATTATTATTACTTATTTGCATATTACCTAATCCATAGTAACAGAGAAAAAGGAAAGAAAAAAAGCAATGCCATTCACTTTATTTTATATTAGTCTGTCCTACCTTGGAAATTAGCCATCTTGACTCAAATAAATTTA